GTCTTCAAATAGCTCAAGAGTTGTCAGTTATCAGTTGTCAGACCTTGATGGGCGTAGGTGAGATCCGTCAACAAAGCAGTGAGTGAGGGGGGAATCCAAAAAACCCCCACAGGCAGAAAGTTCACAGAAGAGGCTCTGACAAACTTCTCCCTAAGTCACATGGGTAGAAGAACGGAGAGGAGGGGCAAGAGCACAGTCTCACTTGCAAGGTTCTTACATAGGAGGTGAAGCTTCTAAAGAAAATTTATTAAAGAATGTTACAACTAGGAGTAAGAGGAATTGGACAATAGTGAGCTTTCTTTCACTGGATGTGTTCAAATGAAGGCTAGAGCATTATCAGTGATATTTCACAGAGAGAAGGAAATAGTTTGGCTGATCTAAATGGAACAATAAAATCCTGCAGTTGGAAGGGAGATCTAGTCCAGCCTGTCCAGGACACGAATCCTTTATACCATCCCAGACAAATGGCTGCCCAACCTTTGCTTGAAAAACTCCAGTGATGGAGACTTCCTGATTTCGGGAGACTGTTTAGTAGTTCTTCTGGCCAGGAAATTCCTGCTTATTTCAATTTGGATCCTTCTCTGTAAAGCTTCTACCCATTGGTTCTTCTCCTACCTTCAAGAGCCGTGAAGGAAAAATCCAGACTCTCTTTCTTGTGGTGGTCCTTCAATTATTAGAAGATAGCTATCATGTCTCCCCTTAGCCTTTTTTTCTTTAGGCTAAACATACCCAGTTCTGTAACTGGTCTTCATAGTTTTAATCCCTAAACCCCAACCTCGTTTTCTTTATTCTTTGAACTCCTTCCAATTCTGCAATCCCCTTCTTTTATTGTGGTGAACAAAACTGGACACGGTATGCAGGAGAACAATCACTTCAGTGATTGCAATGTTCTATCTCTGTTCAAGCAGCCCAAGATTGTATAGCTAGTTTTACAGCTGCAACACTCTGTTGGCTCATGCCAGGATATTCAGACCCTTCTCACCACACCAGGTGCCACATCTTGACCCTGTGCACCTGCTGGTTCCACCTAAGGTCCGAACTTTATATTCCTCCATTTAAAAAGGCTAATAATAACTAGAAATTAAGTAGTTCCAGCTTCTCCCTATTGCTTGTCCTAATTTCCCCCTATTTTCCTAGCAGTGGTTAAAAAAATGATCCTTATTCTTTGATATTCTATTCTTGTAATATCCCTCTCTTTTCATGTTTTAAATTTGTCCTTTTTGTTTCTTGTTGATAGAGAACTATTTATGCACCCTTGGTGGCTTCATCGGGACACTCCCATTTTTAACTTTTTTCTTTAGTATTGTTTGCATTGGGGCCTTAATAATAACAATAACAATCAGAATAGAGCTGGAAAGGACCTGGGAGGTCTTCTAACCCAACCCCTTGCTCAAGCAGGAGACCCTATACCATTTCAGACAGGTTGTTGTCTAGTCTTTTCTTTACCTCCAATGATGAAGCACCCACAACTTCTGGAGGCAAGCTGTTCCACTGGTTAATTGACTTCACTGTTAGGAAGTTTCTCCTTAATTCCAGATTGCTTCTCTCCTTGATTAGTTTCCATCCGTTGTTTCTTGTCCTGCCTTCTGGTGCTTTGGAAAATAAATTGACCCCTCCTCTTTGTGGAGAAAGATTCTCCTTCCTGAGAGTCTCCCAACCTTCTTGAGGATTCCATTCCTTTAGAATCCTTCCTACTTTTTCCCTTCGTTGCTGAAATCAGATCTCTTGAAATGTAGAATAATAACCAGACAACTTTTGGTTCTGCTTGCCTGCAGGGTGAATTCCAGGAAGATGCGGTCATTCACTCTCACCATTCTCACCTTCCCACTCCACCATTTGTTCCCTGTTAGTAAGCATGAAGCCCAACATGGCTAGTTCTCTGGTCTTTGATTGTTGAAGTCCTCTACAGCAGAGGTCCCCAACCTTTTGGGCACCAGGGACCAGTTCCATGGAGAGAGGCTTTTCCATGGACCAGAGGGTGTGTGGTTTTGTGTGCTGCCTGCATCTTATGGATGGGGCTTTGCTTGTTTGTGCAGACCAGTTGCTGGCATGCCACGGCCCAGTACTGCTCCACAGACTGGGGGTTGGGGACCCCTGCACAAGACACAGTGAGAACCCGTAAAATCTCCCACTTGCCGCTTTGGTTGATTCCCAGTTGATGCTCAAGTAGTTGAAGTCCCCCCCCCCCGACACAGTGATACGTTTCCTGGACACTCAAGGATCTGATCTGCAAAGATTTCAGCCACACTTGCCTCATTTTTTGTTTTGCTTTTTTCTTTGATTTCCACTCAGACACTTTCGGCAAGATTTTCACCCTTGATGTCCTGAATTTCTTTACAGGTGTTGAAATTCTTCACATATAATATGACACCTTTTCCCCCTCCCCTAGTTGGACTTTTTTTTCTTGTCAGCAAACTATATCCTTCTAGTTTTATATTCCAATCGCATGATACATTCCACCAACTTTTAGAAATAATAATAATAATAATAATAATAATAATAATAATAATAATAATAATAATAATAATGATGCCACCTTTCCTCCAGTGTTCTAAGGCTTGATGTTCTCCCTGTTTGTTCCTCATTCTCTGAGCACTGATGTACAAAAAGCCTCTGAGTCTCAGCACTGGCCTTCTCAGCTTTGCCTCCTGCATCTCCTGATATATTTTTACCACTTCCTCTCTTGATCTCAGGGTCTCTTAACTTTGGACAGAAACTTTGGCTGCCTTCTGATTTCTTTCCTACTCCAGGTTTAGTTTAAAGTCTGCCACGTGACCCGAGTATAATGAAATATATACTTGCCAGTCTTTGGGAGGTGCAACATATCTTGTGGCTTGCGGAAGCCCTACCTGTAGAGGGCCCAGTTGTGGTCCAGGAATACAAAGTTTTCTTGGGTGCTCCATTCCTGAGCCAACAGTTCACCCCCCCTAAATCCTCCACTCCTTCTTTGGGCCAATTGGAGGCATGGATGAAAACCCCACCTCTGCTCAAATCTCTTTTGCCTTTCTGCCTAACTCCTCGTGGTCCTTTGAGATTCTTTCCAGTCTCTTTTTTGGCAGTGTTATTTGTCTCAATGTGAAACAGGATGAATAATGGTCAGTAGATTCGATAACGGGACCCTTTCAACTCTATGGTACTAGACATATTGGGGCATATAAGCAAAATGTATGAGAATAAGGTGGTGGCACCTTAGGAGGATGTTCTGGGCATGGAAGGGTCAGTTTGGCTGCTTCATCTAATGCCCAGCAATGATGTTGTTCTTGCAGCCCCAGAGAAAGAAGTCAACTGTTGCAAGAAAGCCTACAACTGGTTCTGCGGCCTGGAGCAGACGGGCCCCAAGCTGAGCAAGGAAGAGGAGGAAGCCCTGCAACACAAGCTGATGGACACCACAGAGGAGCCGTTCTGGAGGCGCGTGGTCAACATCAATGCCATCATCCTGCTGTCGGTGGCTGTCTTCTGTCACGGATTTTTTGCATAGGTCAAACGTTTTGTTTTATTTGAGAATGAAGTTCTTGATTGCTAAATTGCACTGTGACATCATAATCTGTAAATTGCACCTTATTCAACTTGAAACTTATTTGTCAGGAGAATCATTTAACTCATCAAGTTAACTGAAAATACGACCGTGAGTGCCGTTGATTGGGAGGGGCCATGAGGGTCTGCAGACTCTCCTCAAAGTGGACAGTCCTCAGTGTTTTTGTCCCTGTTTTTGGATTGTGTTACCAAAGTGTGTGAGTGCGTGTGTCAGAAATTCAGATTTCCAGTTGTTTTCCCTTTGTTTTTTTAAGTGTATGATTTGTACCGGAAAAGTTCAGTTGCCTCAGTTGGCTGACTTTTTTTATTGTTTTGGAGGCAAACTCTTCTCATCTTGCCCCCCTTTATTTAAGACTCATGCAAAACTGTTTCTACCTGTATTAACTTTGGAACTGGAAGTATTTGAATTGAATTATTAACATCTAGTTCACCTAGAATCAGCTTGAAGTGGTTTGAAGGTGGTTTGAAACTTTTTCCCTGGGACCACATATGCTGATGTTGTTATCATCCTTTGTAAATTGGATTTACTGTATAACTGTAAAATACATATATATTTTTAAAAATGACTGTGTCTTGTTGAAAAAAAAAACCCAAAATGAAGCAAAACTCTTGCTTTGCCCGCTGACACCGAGGTATTTATTTCAAGGCTGCACACCAGGTCATCCCCATCTCTTTCTGCCAGGGGCCATTTCAGTAACTGGGGGGGAAAACAGGGAGCATGATGCAAAAGGGGGATAATTATCAGGATCTGGTTAGAATAGATGGAATAGATAACCTTTATTGTCATTTTGTTTACTGTGGGCACATTGGCACACATTAAAAATGAAATTTTGTTGCTTGCTCTCAAAAGTGTACATATACATAACTCACATTTAAACATGCTATATACAACATATGTTTAAGCCTACACCCTTACATATAACTAACGTATAAATATTAATCACTGTCCATCTTGAATTCAGAACAGAAGGAGGAAGCTCTGGTTGGCGCTAAGATTGCCTTGGAGAAAACAGCTTTCGACTTAGGAGCCAGCTGGGTGTAGGGGGGCGTCTGGGATCAAGAGCCTTCTCAACCGCAGCCTAACCTCAACCTTCTCAGACTCTTCCCAAGAGGAAGAGTTGGACCCACAAGCAAGAGCTGGTAGGCTGACTAAGCAGCTGCCTTTGCAGGACCATGGAGAGCTCCCAGTGCAGATCCCTGCTGGGAGCTCCGCACTTCTCTCTGTCCGAATCTCCTTGAATGAACCAATAGGCAAGAATATTTGGAATGAAGGCTTGAAATGAGGGGTCCTTGGCGCTCTCCGAGGTTGGTGGTTTTGTGGCAGACATTTCATGACCCAGCTAGGTAACATTATCAGCGCTGAATTGGGTAATGAAACATCTTTAAGAAAACCACCAAGCCCCAAAGACTTCACAGCTCCATTCACCAGTCGGTTCTCTCAGGGTCCAGAGTCAGCCAGGAGCCTTCAGAGGCCCATAAACAGAAGTGACTCCTGGATTGAGATAGAGCCATCATGGCAAGCAGCCATTGACAGCTTTTCCATGCCTTCAAGCTATTCATTTAATGTGTGGCTATGGGCTTCACAGATTCACTGCATGTGCTCTGGGGAAGATATTGTTGTACCTGTAAGGAGCAACGGCTGGCAGCCCCTTTCAGGCTGAAGATGCCCTTGCACAGACTGGTGTGTCATGGCTCCCCTCAGAAGGAGCCTTCAATGTGTGTGTGTGTACATAATAGTACTTGTTCATGTTCAGTCCCTTGGAAATGATGCCAACATACAGGGGTCTGCCATTTGCCGTAATGAAAGGGAGAGACTCGGACGCCTCCCCTTTGGGCTGTGCTGATCTTGCTCCAGAGAACTCAGCCTGCAGGAGGGACCCCCTTCCCTGAGCCAAGCTCCCAAAATGTAAGGAAGAGGCCCATGGAAACCTTTCACCTGCTGCCCCCTCGGAGTCCCTCTGCTCAGAAAATGCCCCCACCGACATCTCAGCAGCAGGAGAGTGCCTGGTCCAGGGAGACTAAAGGCCAAGCTCTGGGCAAGATCCGCCCCTTGCCATGCTCCAGAGTGCCCCTGCACCAAGAGCCCTGGTGGGCTTGCCCCCCTGAGCCTTCGGTCCTGGCTCCCCAGATTGCCATGTACGCCTCGTACACCGAGTCTTCTTGCTGAAGGATGGGAACCTTGCTCTTGAGGCTGCCTAATGCCAGCTCCACTAATTGCAGCGTGATGTGGGCTGCTTCAGGGAGCAAAAGAGGCAGCATCGCAGCACAGGCTGCTGGGTGTCACTGCAGGCCTAGCAGGGCTTGGGCAGCTGCAGGGAAATGCAGGACGAGCCCATTTTAAGAACCTTTGATTTAATTGCCGGGGACAAAAGTGTCGGGTGCCGAAAGATTAATTGCTGCATTTTCCTCTTGACAAGACAACCCCCCCCAGCTCACCTATCAGGGTTTCAGGGTGACTAAGTTGTTTGCTGTTCAAAGCCCTAGTCAGGGGTAGGCAACCTCGGCTCTTTTATGACTCATGGACTTCAACTCCCAGAATTCCTGAGTCAGCAAAGCTGACTCAGGAATTCTGGGAGTTGAAGTCCATGAGTCATAAAAGAGCCGAGGTTGCCTACCCCTGCCCTAGATAAACCCAGATGAAAAATTACAGCTGCTGCTTCAAATTTGTTGTTTCCAGCCTTCTGTCGGAGGAAAATGTGGAAGTTAGGCCAGAATGCCAACTTGGCCAGAGAGACTGTGGGATTGCAAAATCCCGGGGTCCTGCGCCTGCAGGATGAACTTATTCCTCTCCAGAGGAATGGACTGGTGATGTACGTTGGCCTAAACCAACGGGCCTTGCTTTAGGTTAGGAAACACACGGACAACATGCTTCTTCAGGTGAGATGGCAGGCAAAGACCCTCAAGCCTCTCCGTGCCTCTCTTTTATTGGTACATTAGCATAATCAAGGGGGGGGTGTACAAAAGGACAATAGGGGGATGGCTCTCTATTGCCATACACAAAGAACAGGAAACTTAAGTCAAGGAGGTACTAATTCAAGGTAAGCTTAACAGGAGAAATGAAACTTAAGTCAGGAAACGAAACCTAAGGCAGGCAGGTAAGCTTTTCAGGAGAAACGAAACTTAAGTCAGGAACCAAATGGATGCAACAGAGACCAATAAGGGGATCAGTGTTGGGGGCAGCCCCCTTCAGAAGGAGGGCTCCCACTTGGATGCCCCTGCAGAGCCTGAAGTGAAATCAGGAGGGACCCCACCGTGGCTGCCCCTCTTCTCCAGAAAGAGGCTGACGGAGCCCTAAGGGTGGGGAGCAGACCCCAACCCTCCTAGGACAAACTCCCTGGGAAAGACCTGGGGCCGCCCCATGAGCTCACTCTGGGCCCTCCCAGACCGCATTTGGAAGGCCAAGAACTCCCAGGGAACCATTTTAATTGTCCCAGACTTGTTTCTGGGGAAAGGTTCCAGGAAGGCCAGGAAATCAGAAGGCGGGCCCTTAAGGGCCCCAGAGGGAAGCAGGCAGGAGCGAAGCCCACCAGGCCCTGGGTACTGAGGGACAGGTGGGCACACTGAAGTGGAAGGAGACTCGGGGGCCCTTCCCATCCATGGTCTTGGGCAGGGTCGCATCTTTATCAACTACACCACAAGTGGCTGGGATCACACAATGTTCCAGCATCAAGCACAATTTACACATTGCAACAAATGGTGAGCAGCAGCAGCAGCATTTGCTAGGGGGGAGGAGGAAGGCAAGATGGAGGAGGTGGGTTGGAAAGTGCCGGCCTTCCTTTGCAAGGCCACATCTGCCCCCCCCCCAGTTCTTTAGAGCCCCCCTCCCAATTACTGGGATCTGTGACATGTTAAACCAGTTGTCGTGACAGTTGTCGCTGCTGTTGAATTCATTGCCTACACGTGGTTTCCTCTTTCAACGCGGGGGTTGAGGGGGGGGAGAGTGCAGCTTTGCAACAGGGAGTCTGGCAGGGCGGGAGACCCGACCCGACCCAAACACGCGCCCCTCCCGCGGGTGAAACCCGGAGGGAGCCCTCCCAGCGTGGGGCAGGGCGAGTGGATCCCCTCTTCTTCCTCGTTCTCCTCCTCCTCCTCCTCCTCTTCCTCCCTCTGCCTGTTCCTCTTCCTCCTCCTCCTCCTCCTCCTCCTCTTCCTCCCTCTGCCTGTTCCTCTTCCTCCTCCTCCTCTGCCTTCCTCCTCCTCCTTCCTCTTCCCTTGCTTTCCTCCTCTGCCTCCC